GAGAACTGTATTCAATACCTTGTAATAACCTTTAATGAAAAAGAATATGAAAATGAATATATGTGTATATATACACATGACTAGGACATGATGCTGTACACCAGAAATCAATACATTGTAACTGACTGTACTTCAATTAAAAAAATTTTTTTAATACAGAAACAAAAACATTTTGTGCAAAGCTCGTCTTCTAACTGTTACTTACAACAGATTAAATTCTGATACAATTTAAATATTCCATGAAATGAGAGATGTGTTAATTATATTATGGTAGAAATGCTTATTGTAATCATATAAAACCAATCAAAAACTATATTTATCAAAAGTTTATAAAGTAGAAAAAAATTGTTGTTGTTCTTTCCAAGTATGCTAAATTTTGTGAGTAAATAATTTATCCCAGATAAGGAGAAAGACAAAATGGTGATTCCTCATTTTTTTATATTGTTCTAGAACATTTCTTAATAAGCTCATGGGATCCTCATCTGAATGTCTCAGGGAGAGTAACTTTGTCATCAACAAGTTAGGAAGGTCTAGTAAGCTGATGGTTTTCTTAGTTACTGGAACTCCTGAATTTTTTCCTCTATGTTTTACATTTCTGTACTCTCAAATATCTGTGGTGTTACTTTTATAATTGGAATTTTTACAATAAAGTAGGTTTTATGAGGGAGAAGGCTTTAGGTAAAATATTCACAATTAGTCCAGATGTAATAAAGACTCTTTCTTAAAATGGTTATCATTTTCTCATTTCAACAGTAAATAATTTATTTGCAGCCAGCATAGTAAAGAAATTATTTGGGCAGATGCTAGAATCATTGGGTAAAAGATGGTTGGTAAATAAGAACTATGCAGTCTCAGGGTGTCATCTTCCAAATTAATCACTGGACAGAGGGAAAAGTATGTTCACAGTGGGTAAATCTGGTGGACACCATCTTAGTCAAATGACAAAATTAATGGACCAATAATGAGAGAGACTGGCAGAGTCCCACCTGGTGACTGAGAAGGGTCCAGCATTGATTAATCTCCTTTCACAAATGCTAACCTGAATCTAGTCACGAGGAAACAATCAGGCAAACTCTAATTGAGGGATGCTGGTGTCCTGGTCTAGATCGTCAATGTCATGTGAGCAAACAAATGACTGGGCAACAGCTGTGACCAAGACAATGAAATGCACCACATAATCCTTGACTGGGTCCCGGGACAACAATGAAAATAGCTGTAAAGGGCGTTATTGGGGCAAGTGTGGAAATCTGAACGTGGGCTGTATATTAGAAAACAATTTTGCATCGATATAAACATTTTTCAGATGTGATGACTGTATTTTGCTTGTATAGGAGAATGCCTTGGTTCCAATTAGTCCTCAAATGACTCAGCAAAATATGTACATATATTACCCATGTATTTGTACAGAGAGACGTAAAGCGGGGTCAGTGGTAACAATTGGTGTTCGTTACACTTGTCTTGAAACTACAACTTTTTCTGCCGGTTTAAAAGTTTTCAAAACAAAAAGTTGAGGTGAAAAGTAGAACGGGTTCATCACAGACTATTTCAACAATTCAGAGAACAAGGTTAAAGAAAATAAATGCACTTCTGGCTGTTTATCCTTCTAGGAAAAACAGATACGGATATCTTCTACCCATTTGGACCCCTTGTGGAATACAGAGTTTTGTAATCTGGTTTTTTTCACTTAATATCATACCGTGAAAGTTTTCCTTGTTAGAAATAGTCTTCTAAATTATTTTTCATGGCTTAATAATATTTTATCGTGTTGGTACACCATCATTTATACGAACAATCCCTTTTCATTGAACACATAGGCTTTGCAGTGATTAAAAATCATCACCTTGACCATCTTTGGAGTTAAAACCTTGTTTGATCCATGATACGCTTCTGGATAAACTTTTAGAGCTGGGAAGACTGGGTCAAAGGACACGCACATATTAAGTCGTGGCAGGCACAGTTGGCAACCACGCAACAAGCCCTCCCCTTTCTTCCTTGCTGACAAAAATCCCAGTTTTGTTTGGTGCAACAACACGCCCCACTCTAAGGGCTGAATTACAACAGGTCTAAGCCAGTCATGACAATCTCATCTCCTCTGTCAGAGACGTGCTTTCTCTGGCGCTCTTAAAATGGGGTGAGGGTGGGTGGGGAGCCCAGGACCCAGCCAATGAGCCAAATGAGCTATAAACAGAGTATTGCTGGGAGTGCCCTGATGAAGGAGAGCCCCTCTCCTGCTGCCATTTCATGTAACAGTGGAGATGAAATCCTTAATGCCCAGCCCAAGAACCACACTGCAGATGGCACCCTGGAAAGAAGGAGCTGAGTCCCTGATGGCATCACTGGGTTTTGATGACATCACTGAGCTTGTGTACCAAACCTTGCATCACCGCCCCCCTCCCCTGGATTATCAGCTAAAGCCTGCCAGTCAGGCTTTCTGTCACTTGCATATTAAAAAACACAAACAAAAAACAGCCGTTCTAACTGACATATGTTGACTGATTGCCTTCCACAAAGGTTGTATTGCTTTTCATTCTCCCGGAAGTGTGAAGCCATCACTGGTTTCCCATCCCTTCCCCAAATTCTAGGCATAGAATAAAGTTCCTCTGTGGTTTGAAAGACGGCTTCATCAGGGCCCCTTCTCCATCCAGATTACATTCAATCTGCTCTTCAGTTAAACCGAGGAAAGACTGACCCCTAGAGGGCTCTCTTATCAAAGCACCTAACAGGCTGGGCCGTCAGCTTGCACCGGCTACAGGCTTGTGTAACTGGCAGGAGTGACTTCCATCATCCAAATCTACTCAAAGAACGCTTAGTTAGGAGCCTTCTTTGAGCTCAGCATGGGAGTAGCGAGCACAGGGAAGGAAAATGCAGCATGACGTGGCGCTGTTTCAGGTACCTTTTTGCCTGCACGCACAATTCAGGGATCCGGTGTCCAAGGTTAACCCTTAGCTAAAGTCAGCGACGGACACCTCGGACACCTCGGAAAGCTGTGAGCAGGAGGGTCCCCCCGGTGCCGAGACGGACGCAGCAGTGGGCAGTTTGTCTAGAGGCCTGAGTTCCTTCCCAGCAGTGAAACCATGAGCAAACCACAGATAATACAGATCAAGACCTTTCTTGCCATGACAACCACTGACTCCTGGAAACTTTGAAATGGTTTCTCTAATAGTCCCACCTTGCGGATGAGGAAACTGGGGCCGGAATGGGTTCAGGATGGCTGCCCTGTTGTTCCCTTAGCTCAATCCCATAGCTGATTGAGGCAATTCACACGGCTCTCTGAACTCAACTCACCAAAGAAAGTTCTCACAGTTGGTCCAAAACAACTGTAATCGACAACAGGATGAGAAATTCTTGCAGCAAGTCATGATGATTTTCTCACATAGCTGTGTAATAATGATCTTGTTACAAACTGGACTTTATTCAGAACCTGGGTGTATATAAAATGGTTGCGAACTAGCCAAAATTCAGGGAGGAGAATGGATGTCCTAAGGTTTTTGTCAAAGGATGCAAATTGGAGTTTAAAGCAAACGGAAGTTCCTCTACAGTTGTAAGCATTTTGCTATGCACACCCCATTCCCGGAAACTGGGAAGGATGAACTCTGTGGATGGAGGTACCTGGGTTATTTCAGTCATTTTTCAGAATCTTGCATTTTAATGTCTTGGGCGTAAAAATCTAAAAATACCTTTCAACAAATTGGTCTCTGTCAAGATAGCAAGTCTTTTTCCTTCTGTGATGACTCTTATCACAATGCTTCTAGTATTTAGAACTAGACAAAGATCTTATCTTTAAAAATGGATGGTACCCCATACACATCAATTGACAGTTGCCATGACAGAAAGCAAGCCAGCAGGGTGATGACCCTAAGCATTTTTTAAATTGAGGCATCATTATAAAATTGGAGAATTTTTAAACTGAAAGGTCTTAGGCATCATTGAGTCCCATATTTTCAATTTGGAGATGAGGAAACCAAGGACAAAAGATGTAAAGTAACTTAAATTACTAATGCTGTTGGAGGTAAGATCTGTACAAAAGAATAATAATAAACCAGGAGACAAAGATGCTAGGACAAGGATATAAGTAGAGATTAGCATTCAGAGCTCCTGTCCCCATGGACAGTGGAGACCATACGTTTTCACTGTGGGTTTCTCTGCTGATCCAACCTGATTGCCCATGACTCCTGCCCCAGCCAGCATCTGCTTCCAGGGCACCAGTAGCCCCAAAGGGAGGGAGACTGTCTTACCTGGTGTCCACGCCTCCCTTTTTCCCCCTTGGGGCCTTGGGTGAAACTATCAGTTCCAGGATCCCCCTGGGAAAATAAAAGGTTTCTTAGCTCAAATGGGTAGGAAAAGTATGATTTTTAAAAAGGAAAAGGCACCAAAGTGGACCCTTTCAGTTGTCTGAGCCTGCTCAGTATTCCAGATACCCAGTGCAATTAAAATTCTAAACTCTTTAAGAGCCCAAATGTTGTATAAGATGGACTTCCTTTCAAATCTCCTATTGGTCGCAATACTAAGACAGGCTGAACAGATGCCTCATTAATGAATAATTCATTGTCCTCTGCCTTTGTGCTCAAGCAAACAATTCACAATCCCTGGATTAGAGCAGCAGAAATCCCTGAAGCCCCACTACTCACAAAATCTCCCCTCATCCCAGGCTCTCCATGCTCGCCAGGTCGTCCAGGTGGTCCAGGCAAGCCCTTAAATCAAATTTTTAAAAAGTGTCACTTTTTAAAATCATCTATTGCCTAAAGGGAAATGGCAAATGAGATTCAAATTAAAAGAGCAATGTAGTACGTGAACTTTAAAGCATTAGCTGCCAAAGAGGTGAGGCTGAGACACAGAAAAGAACATACTTTTATTGGAAATCTGGGATACACTTGG